CTTTTACAGTCAGTTATCTCCCTTGCCTAGGGAAGCCGCACCATGGCAGCAATAATTGACAGTGGACATCCTCCGCCTTCACCAGACTTGCCACCGATTTGAAACTCTTTCCAAACTTGATGAAAGAACCGTCTGCCCCGCGCTGCAGCCATATCGAAGGGGTCAGTCGTAGTCACAGCTCGCGAGCTGTGATAACCAGTGCTTGTCTCCCGCGTGACCTGGGGTGTATCGTAGCTTGTTGGTCGTTATCTTCCTCTGCTTTGTATGCAGAGAGAGGCACACACACCTTGGATCAGAATGTCAACTGGCATAAACTGACGTCAGCGAGTCGAGTGCGTGTGTGCGTGGGTGCGTGAGTGAGTGTGTGGGTGTGTGCGTGTGTGTGTGAGTGTGAGAGGGTGTGTGCGTGTGTGTGTGAGTGTGAGAGAGTGTGTGCGTGTGTGTGTGGGTGTGGGTGTGAGAGGGTGTGTGCGTGTGAGTGTGAGAGGGTGTGTGTGTGGGTGTGTGCGTGGGTGGGTGAGTGAGTGTGTGCGTGGGTGGGTGAGTGAGTGTGTGCGTGGATGGGTGGGTGGTTGAGTGTGAGAGAGTGTGTGGGTGGGTGCGTGGGTGGTTGAGTGTGTGCGTGGGTGCGTGAGTGAGTGTGTGGGTGTGTGCGTGGGTGGGTGAGTGAGTGTGTGCGTGGATGGGTGGGTGGTTGAGTGTGTGGGTGTGTGCGTGGGTGGGTGGGTGGTTGAGTGTGTGGGTGTGTGCGTGGGTGGGTGAGTGGGTGTGTGCGTGGGTGGGTGGGTGGTTGAGTGTGGGTGTGAGTGAGTGTATGGGGGGTGGGTGAGTGTGTGGGTGGGTGGGTGGTTGAGTGAGTGAGTGAGTGTATGGGTGGGTGGGTGAGTGAGTGTATGGTGAGTGTGTGGGTGAATGAGTGAGTGTATGGGTGGGTGAGTGAGTGAGTGTGTGGGTGGGTGAGTGAGAGTGTATGGGTGGGTGGGTGAGTGAGTGAGTGAGTATATGGGTGGGTGAGTGAGTCTGTGGGTGGGTGGGTGAGTGAGTGAGTATATGGGTGGGTGAGTGAGTGGGTTGGTGGGTGAGTGTACAAGAGAGTCAGCTCAAGTGGTTTAATGTTGTTTTTCACTCGCGTGTAAGATCTGAGTATTACATAAAAACTCAGTACACGTGACCAACACGGCCCATATCTTCCCGAGATAATTGATAAAAGCGGTAGAGACAAGGGACGCCACCATCTGCTGTCGTGGGCGTCAACGCCTCGCAGAGTAACTCAGTCGACAGCTTAGTGGCCTTACGCATGGCTTGTTGAACGGTGTTTCATGTAAAAACAAGTTCGGCGTAAACATTGATACTGTACCGTTTCTGTCATGCAGGGTTTCACATAGAATTGCCAGTGCCGATTCCGACTGAGAAGGTCCCCAGTTGCGTGAGTAAGTGAGTGAGTTTGTGTTAACGCCGCTTTGAGCAATATATCACGGCGATGCAGGTCTTGGGGGTGAACTACTAAGGTGAAACCATCAAGCACGGGTATGGATCTAGAACCTTGAGTGAGTGAGTGAGTGAGTCGGGTTTAACGCCGCTTTTAACAGTAGTCCAGTTATATCGCGGCGTGTCGGCTTAATGTGGGAGGAAAGTTTACCACTTCGGTGAAACCCACAAGCACAGGTATGGTGCTGACAAACATAGAAACATAATCGGGGCGAACAATCATAGGTTTCTGGCGTACCAAAGGGACGCAACTCTTCACAGTGAATCGCGGCGCCTTAGACGACTGGACCTCCCGTGCCCCCCTAGAACCTAGAAACATAATAAGAGCGAATCTGGGATTCGAACCCATGATCGTAGGTTCCTGGCACGCCTACGGGAGGCAACTCTGCACCGCCGTACAGACAGCTGGTCCACCCGTGCACACCGCCCCGGGTACCTATGCTAGTAAAAGAGGTGGCACAATAGATGAAGTGGTCAGCCTCCGTGATTTAAATTACGTGTTCGTAGCCCGACGACATGGGGCGTTGCTCTTAACATCAATCACTGGTTTGTCAGTCTAACTTTGGATAAAAAGGGAGAACGAAAGGCATTTACCACTTTGGTGACACCCTCGGGTACGTGCACCATGCCAACAAAGATTTATAATGGGCGCGCACTTGGGATTCGAACACACGACCAGTGGTTCCTGGCTAAGATGTGCCATTCTGCACAGGCAGTTGCTAATTCAGGAAGCTGTTATGACGAGCAAGCATCGAATAGAAGCTGGTTTAACCAGATCTTAGAGGTTTGGTTTTCTTTTACATATTAGAGGCTGGTCTTCGGGGCTTGTTTTTAACCAATATTAGAGGCTGGTTTGAACTAATCTTAGAGGCTTGGTTGTTTTAACCAATATTAGAGGCTGTTTTAAACTAATCTTAGAGGCTTGGATTTTTTTAACAAATATTAGAGGCTGGTTTAAACCGATCTAAGAGGCTTTTTTTGTTAACCATTTTTAGAGGCTTTTTTGTAAACCGATCTTAGTTATTAACACACATGGAACAAAAGAACGTGTCATAATTTGTCCCATGGTATAAATATATGTAATAAATATGTGGGACGCAATAAGGTATGTAAACTAAACTGACAGACAAAAGAAAGTGTACACTCGAAAACTGGATTTGACGAAACAATGTCAAACATTATGAAAAGGTTACAGGGCTGAAAAAAGCCGACAAAACACTGCAGACTTAGGGTCCCCCCCCTAACCACAACAAATACATCCCCATCGAATAACCATTCTTGTTTGTTTCGGTTGTAGCCACCATCAAACATGGCTGTATAGACTTTCTTTAACCCCGGCAGTTAAATTAGCATCGCTGAAACAATTCAATCATTAAGGTGTCCGCCAGTCCGCGGTCTTCCCCAACAGTCTCCATTTTATAACATCATGTCGATAATATATCACATGGCTTAAACAAACAAACAAACAAACAAACAAACAAACAAACAAAATGGACTCCACCGCACCCCAAATTTCTATAAATAATTGAAACATTGTTCCCAAATGTTCTGAAATCGTGACTGTTTCTTGGTGTTTTTTTATGCAGTTGGAACACGCCAAGGAAGAGAAAAAAATACATATTTCGGATTTTTTTAATACTTTTAAAATTCGTACAGGAAACAGGGGCAGCTTCAAAGACAATGGTATGTGAGGTACTTCAAATCCATAATTGGTGCCTCGATTACAGAGTATTTAGAGTGTATTGATGATATGCACCCCAAGCTTCCTTTCAAGGATTTACGGTATCTGGAAATGAATGCCCCCTCCTACTAGTGTACGTATTATTTCTGACATCCGTTTTCACGAAATACGCGGCTTGACAACAGAGAAAAAAAATCTTGCATTCCATTTTGTGCGTTACATGTGTAGCATTTGTTCGGGGACAGTATTACATTTTGTTGAAGTGCTGACACTCCAAATTGCGTACATTCTCAGAGATGCAACAAATTCTATACAACATATTGAGCCATCTAGTCTTTTAAATGAAAATAGTTTACACAAAATGCAGTTGTTAAATTATCTTCATTAAATAATATTAAAAAAACAGCATAGATACTGAAACTGCAGTTATCGAGACTTGCTACCTGTTATAGACTTGCATGGGCTGTATTGGATATTTTTGTTTCAATGTTTGTATGACAGACTAAGCCGTTCCGTGTGAGCGGGACTGCTGTTTATTTAGTATGTCGCACAAACAACAATGAACATGTGTTTGTTATGAAAGTACGCTTCGATGCGTGGAATAATACCCCAGTGAAAGTGATGATTGGAATTGGTCCTCACCAACCCTTGCTTGACATAACGGGATCGGGTGGTCAGGCTCGCTGACTTGGTTTGATGCACGTTATCATATCCCAATTGCGTGGATCGATGCTCATACTGTCAATCACTAGATTATCTGCTCCAAACTCGATTATTTACAGACCGCCGTCATTTAGCTTGAACTCTGCTGAGTGCGACGTTAAAAAAAACAAAAACAAAACAAAACACAATTACAGTAAACTACGGTTATAACGAACTCAAAGGGACTATTAATTTTAGTTCGTTATAACCGTAATTCGTTATAAGCATATATACAGCATAACTACAGCATATAGTCGGGACTAAAAAGTTAGTTCGTTATATCCGTTAGTTCGTTATAAGCGTGTTCGTTATAACCGTAGTTTAGTTTATGTAGTAATTGTCCATAATATGTGTCACTGTGATTAATTACACCAGCTGCCAGAATGTTCCCCAGATACTTTAAATATTATTATTTATTGAAAAAATAATTTTCTGCGAACATAATTATGAATATTCACAACATGTTATCTGAGACAATCGACACCCGCAATAGCCGGAGTCTTTCCGGTTATTAAACACAGAACTTAATGGCTGTTGGCGCGCCATTGTATAATTCAGAAAAAGCTAACTCGCTTTGAGAACAAAGATCAAGTGTGTGTAAAAGGAAACTCATTCAATGAAATTTTTTTTATACAAATGTTGAATTATTTTTCATTATGATGGCCCCACCCTCTTCAATGAATGGCGTTTTCTTTTGGACTTTGTTCGTCTGGTTACTTGTGTCCGCTCCGCTAGATTCCAGAGCGCAATGATTGTGTATGGCACCGTGCCCGCTTTTGTTTCAGTCTGTGTTAAATTTTATTTATAAAATGAAATAATTGTTAACTTTAACGAAACTTGAATGAGCACACACTTGTGCGTTATATTGGTACATTTGTAAAAAACTCAGTCTTGGATACATGCTCCGTCAGTAATGACTTACAACTGAGTGTTTGTTTTATCAATATTTTTTACGAATGAACTCGTGCAATAACATCACGTGCTATGTTCTTTGTTACATCAGTTTTGTGACTATGCAGTCGGGTTATGATTAATGTCCGACTATCCCGTGGATGAGTTTATTCCATTAACTGTGGTGAATTTGAAGTCACGTTAAACGACAGTCTAGTTTGTCCGATGACTTCATTGAAGGTGGGAGGTCATGAGACAAGTGACCTCGTGGGGTCACTGCGAGTGGGTCATGACGTCGTTTCCTTCCCGTCATGCAATGCCTGTAATGTCCGCCATTATCGCCGACTGACAGTGATATTTAGGTATAAGCTTACTTGTTTTGTGAATTGCATTGTTTTGAAAGGCATTATTGGAATCAAAATGTAATGTATGCCTCGGGAAGTGGTATATGACTCTTACGGAGTTGACTATGTGTGCCTGATTGAACCATGTCGCTCAAGAGAGCCCCTGTTTTGATTGTACGTGTTTGCTGCTAGACTCACGAGTCCGAGCAAAATGGCTGACACAAGGGTTTGTGACGATCCCAGTTTGCCAAAGAAAAAGAGCACGTTCAAAATAACAAGTGTCACTAAACCTACTCGTGGTGGAAGCGGTGAGTTACAAAATGACGCCGATGGAGACATGGATAGTATGGATGATCTGGACGAGAGTCATACGGAAGACTTCAGCTCAGAAATACTTGACAGCTCCAAAGCCACTGACATAGAACAGGATGCTGTGCTTACTCCAGAAGAGATTTTCAAACCAGCAGATGCCCAGTCTAGGTTCAGGGTAGTTAAAATAGAAACTAAAGAGCCATTTCGTCGTGGTAGATGGCTGTGTCATGACTTTTTAGACACACAACCAGCTTCGGAAAAGTCAGAGGTAAAACATGCTGATGAAATACACGTTCATTCTGGTACAAATAGTGCCAATAGTTCCATGCATTATGTGCATGGGGTGGATGATCCTTCAAGGAACCCCCTCGCTGCTGGTGCCTTGGGAACTGTACAGCATCTCTCTGATGCTAGATCTGCTAGTTTTTCTCCAAATCCAGGTGAAACATTTAAACCAATCCATCCAGCCCCCCAAGCTAGTCAAGCCCCTGCTATGCCAGTAACCGCTATTCCACCACAACGAAAAACTTCTGGTGTTGATACAATGATACAAAATCAGAACCAAACCATAAATGCTGGACAGCAGATAGGTACAACTATCCAACAAGGAAATCCTCAAATGCAACAGCCCATGCACATACCCGTCGCTTCACACCCAAACATACAGCAAGTGCCCCAAGCTCAAACAAGTACAGCACCAAGCATACCACAAACAGTAATGGCTACAAACGTACAACCCTCAATGCACGTACATCAGAGCATGGGGCAGAGTGTAAATGTGCACGGCCAGGCAGGGAACGTGGGTGCAGGACAAGGTGGTAAGCAGCTACCCCCTAACCATATTGGCCAGGGTGTTATGCAACCACAATCAATAGACCCTCACACACCACAAAGCCAGAACTTCCCCGCGATGACATCAATGTCCATTGATCAGATGTCGCAGGGCCAAGTTTCCCAGAATCAACTGGCCCAGCAACATTATGGACAGGTAAATCAGACTGGAAGTCACAGTATTAATGTCAGTGCTTCTCAGCAGAACCACGTTTCAAATCCAGATAATCAACCTGACAGTGTACATTCTCAGGTCCCCGATAGTGGCCAGGGGGGGCATCAGCAAGTGACGCATGGACAGGATGTTAACGCTTTATCACGGCCAGGGTCCATTTCCTTAACGAATGACCATGATTCGAACAAGGACCTTATGAGGGATGTGGGAAATGATTCGTCGGGACCACAGGCTCTTCTGAGTCCCCTTGCTGCAGCAGTTAGTGGCATGTCGCAGCCAGCTGACGAGATCAAGGATGATAGGTATGTACTGGGAATTATGTGTTCAAAGCGTTGCAATATGTTTTGTATCCAATCAAGAATACAACATTACCAAAAGCGGGGACACCGTAGTGATTACAGTTGTGTACAGGTGCTCAGTGTCACTATACAACTGGGGGCACGGGTGGCCCAGTCATCTAAGGCGCTGCGATTCGCTGTGCAGAGTTGCGTCCCTTGGGCGCGCCAGAAACCTATGATTGTGGGTTCGAATCCCGGTTCGCCCCAACTATGTTTCTAGGTTTGTCAGCACCATACCCGTGCTTGTGGGTTTCACCGAAGTGGTAAACGTCTGAGACCTGCATCACTTAGGGCTTTCCTCCCACATTAAGCTGACACGCCGCGATATAACTGGAATACTGTTAGAAGCGGCGTTAAACCCAACTCACTCACTCACTCACTATACAACTATATGGATTTGAAACAACACAGAATCCAATATGTTGGTTGATATTGCCATATTGGTCATGACATGTCTATGTCTATTATGATGATTATTTATATTTCTTTTCCCCTCTTAAAAACTGAGCATAATAAATGCCAGTTCAATATACAGAAACATACAGAGCCACACACTTCAAGTGGGATAGGGTCTAATAAAAAAAATCTTGTGGTTCCGATTACCTGACTGACCCTATGTAATGCTTCCGCCACTAATGTTATTTTCACTTTTAATTAACTTGATTAACATTCGATTGACACCGTTTTCCCAATCGCCAGTTTCCTGATTACAATGGAACTCGTCTCGTCGCACTTCTTGTCTGTGTCAATGAACATTTTGATAGCTCCATAAAGTGATGCAAGGATTCTGACACCTAAATGATTGTACTGTGTGCGGTGCATCGAATCGAGTTTATGAACTCTCGACATATGTAGACCGTACCGCTGATAACATCCTGCCAAGTACAATGAACTACTTCCCATCTCCACACAGAAAAAACATGATCGTTCCACCGAAAGTTGTGAGCGAAAACAATGACAGTTGAGTTGGACTTGATAATAGTGATGGTGGACACGGTTCCCTGTGGATGGACGCAGATCATGCAGATGAAGACATGGAGAAACCATCTTTGTACAAAATAAGATACACATGTAAGATAATTCAACACTGATAAAAACTTTATGAAATACAATTATCATGATTATAAGATACAAATTTCAGAAAACAAATTTTATTACTTCAAATGATTTGTTCTGTCACTTGAAGCTTGAGACACAATACAAATGGAGACACTTACCTGACACTTAAAATGTGAATTTTAGTTTTTTTTAAATATATTTTATTTTTTCAAAAGACACAGTATGTCATGACATGATGCAGCGCATGATTTGACACAGCAAAGCATTCAGTTTAGCAATTTTAGTGGTCTTCTTGGAAAGATAAATCAAATTTGTTTAAAAGTTAAAAAAATAAATCCCATCCTACAAACCTACCTACCCTATTTAAGAATTGCTGTAATCGGAACCACAACATATTTTTTGTGTCTATGTAACATGGTACTTATGTCATATGAGAATAATTGCGTTTGTACTCGATAACCATTTTAATACAATAAGTGCACGCCAGATAACTATGGTTGTGGGTTCGAATCCCGCTTCGTCCCCATAGTATTTCTAGGTTTGCCAGCACCATATCTGCATCACTTCAGCCTTCCTTCTACTGTAACGGGACATGCTTTGATATAACTGGAATACTGTTCAAAGCAGCGTTTAACCCAAATCACAAATACACAATGTTATTACCCACACGTATAAGCATGTTGGTTTTGAACACAGGGCTAATTGTACTCTTGTGCCAAGCCCCAGTTGTGTTATAGGGCCTTTGGTCACTGGAAGTATCCCAGTGTTCTGTGAGACGACTCACTAGATCTACCCACCTGCCTACTGACTGACCCTAATCCTTGATCCTTGTGTCAAGTCATGGTAATCACTACCAGGGGTATTTGACACACCCTTTTGGGTCCGCAACATTCATCACCCTGCTTAACCAGATACAAGGAAATGGATTTAATGGGTTAATGGGTTAAGTGTATCAGTGATAATTGTTTGGGATGGGATTTGACCTTTCACTTGATGCTTTTTTTGGCCCATTTTTTTTCCTGATTGTCTCTCATGTATTATTATGTTGTGCATGTTACATTTTGATAAAAATAATGTGGTTCCGATTATGCTTATTTCCAAACAGGGCGAAGAGTGCTGCAGGGTTAGACAAAAACTCGGGAGCATTACTAGCCCAAGACTGAATAATACACCCTTGTAATGTTAAACCTATGGGGAAATTGGGAAGACGTTCGTTCTTGCCCACAAGAATTTGCATCAGCCCTGAGCTAGTGGGCTTGTGTTACGTTCAAATCCTGGTGTTGCTTTTATTTGGAAACCCTGAAATTATGCTTCAGAACTGCTGTCAATGGGGCAGTGTTTGGTGTATTTGTAATGTGCATTCTTTGTTTATGAAAGTGACTATCACAGCAAAGGTGAAGGTCAGTAACTTAATCGGAACCACATCATATTTATTTAGGCCTTATGTTGTGTGGTCGCAGCCCTAAAGGAATCAGACTTAACTTTCACATTTGATCCAGCCTCACGTGTTATTGTCGTTAGTGTATTGACTTCATAAAATTGATTTCACTTCATTAATGAAAACACAACTTTATGAATGATGAACATTATATATTTTGACCGATGATACTTGAAAGATTATCTTTTGTTTGTTAGATGATACCTCTGCAGTGCTTGAGACTAACCAAAATATGTCAGTAGTCCAAAGGACAAGCACCAAAGGTTCTACTGGTCCTGTTTGATCTCTACTAGACACAATGGTGCTTAGAGTTTAGACTTGATCTGTAGCTGATTTCAAAAGTCGGACAAACTTAAGTACTTTGTTCATCCCAAAAAACTAACTAGACCATCGGACCATCATTTATTTTATTTTACTGGCCCTTAAGAAGACTCAGTGTGAGTGTCGAGCACTGCTCCGTATTACGCTTGTCATACCTGTTTATGGATGTACAGGAAATAAGATTCCTTTAGGGGCTGCCACACCTAAGTCATTCATCCTGCTCTTAAATAGAACTTATTTAGATATCATATAGATGTCACCATAGAATTGTTTATTGCCAGACCTTCGCAGTTGCCTTGTTTGCTTCTGTCTTCATCATCATGTAGCTGTGAGCTGATTTCCTTTGTTTTCCATCACGTCTTACCATGCTTACTCCAAGGTTGTATTTAGTTTCATTTAGTTACCAGATTTACTGCTGACCATTGTAGCGTGTTCTTATAAGTGTAAGCAAGGGTGACTGGAGTTCAGTTGTTATGGTTACAGGGAGAAAGGGGGTAAATTGAAACTGTTAACATTATCATAAGTGAGGATATCATTTTGTAAATGTCTGTGATTATACAAATACTTTTTGTTTTCTTCATATTCTTAATGGTTCAATGATATGGTTTCAGTCAAACATACCATATTGTATAGTTTCACGTTTGTTGACCTGCCATTACTGAATATGATTGAATTATTTCTACAAGTGACATGGTAGGCTCAATCATAAACAAGAAAGTTATCGGGTCTATTTAAATGTGAAGAGAAAACAATACCAGGGGGCAGTCCTCAGTAACTTTGGAGTTGCTGTCAAAGGGAGACAACTCTGATTAAGCCACCTCTCCCTTTCTCTCCATGTCAATGAAGAGGGCATGACTGAATGATGTACGCATTCATTTCTGGCTTTATTCAGATTATTGAGGAAACACATACTTTTATCCTCTGCTTCTCTGCAACCTGGTAAGTGCAGAATGAAAATAAAAGTGAAAGGCTTTTGTTGGTAAGATGCAGGAAAATATCATGAGTGAAAATTGATATCCGACAGATTGACTCAGCTCAATTAGTCCATTAGTGGCAACACAGTTTTTCCAGTCTTGGATTCATCCGTCCTGTATTTACATCTTAGCCTTCACAAGTGTTCCAATGTCTGAAATAGGCTTGTCCTGGGGTCCTTGATTTTTTTCCTGCTATTTCTAAATCCAGTGACTCCCTAAATCTTCAACATTTTACAGAAGAGATATGGCAAGGACCTCTAGACTTAATTGTGTTTAATTTTGGAACACTGTTACCATGGTTATTGTTAGGTAACTTTACATCAGCCCAGGACTGCCCCATTTTAATGTCAGGATAACATTGCAGCATTCAGCCCTGGCAAAAGGAAGCATGCTTGTTAAAATTTAAAGTACGGCAGGTATTGGCAAATCAATGTGTTCGTAACATGCTTAAAGGTTATCTTATTCAATTACGCACATAGAAAGGGAATTTGTCTGAAGCTCATGTTCAAAGACCTGCATGATTTGCTGCAGGAGAATCTATCTGAAAGGCTGGTTGCATTTAGGTTTCAGGACCAACTACATGGCTTTCGGCAACCAAACATATTTGACTTTAATTGCAGTTGCTGTGCTGATTTTCCATCAAGTCAATGTTAACATCAAATGGATCACAGGTTATCCTGAAATAGAATTTGAATTGCATTACACTTGAGTAAGGGTTGATTTTATCTGGAGACATTTTGTTTTATACGAGATTCCCTAGAAAACAAAATGTTTGGATGAGATCTGACATTTGGTTGTGGCGTACAACGTTGACGGTTATGGCTGATGGCAACTCTGTAGAGGATCAGTTTTGTGGACTGGTGAACATAAATATTCAATTCTAGTCCAGGTTGTAAGATGAGAAACCCAACATTCGCTTGTGGTGGCCTGTTAGAGGCTCCAGCAGTGTTGCTTGTGCCTAGAGTCATCAGTCAAGAAGGGACCTGTGGAGATCCGGGGTACAATAGGTCTTCAACAACCCATGCTTGCCGTAAAAGGCGACTATGCTTGTCGTATGAGGTGACTAACGCGATCAGTTGGTCACACTCGCTGACTTGGTTGATGCATGTCATCGATCCCAATTGCGTGGATCGATGTTCATGATGTCAATCACTGGATTGTCTGGTCCAGAC